CATCTTTCCGTTTCCCAAGTGCTGGGATTAACAGTCATGTGTTAGAGATGTCAGATCAATATGAACAGTTTGTGCCAGAGGTATTCAAAGTGAAATGGGAAGACGAGTACAGTCATAAAGAGCCAGAGTGAAATGTAACAGTGCTCCATGTTAAGACGGATAAAGTGCTCTGTGGACTCAAAAAAGATGTGGAATGAAACAGAGGGCACTGGCTGGTAACATTAGTAATGATGTCTTATAATAAATCTCCTGGGCAAACACCTTGGGTAAATCAGTTCCTTTTTAAGAACAAAGCTGCAAAGCACCTTATTTTTCATAGGGGATAGATTTATGCCTAAATGGAGAAATTTAGGTTCATGTTTTAAACCACATCTTGTAGGAGAAAGGATCACTGTGTGAGTAGGGACCACATCTGGGTAGTATTCTAGTGGGAGAAAGGGTCACTGTAAGTAGAGACCACATCTGGGTAGTATTCCTAGTAGCTTCCATGTCGCTATTTCATTATTCTCTTTTTCTTTCGAGACAAAATTTTAGACTTTTAAAAATGTTTATTTATGTCAAGCAGTGGTGGTGCACACCTTTAATCCCAGCACTTGAAAGGCAGAGGCAGGTGGATCTCTGTGAGTTCGAGGCCAGCCTGGTCTACAGAGTGATTTCCAGGGCAATCAGGGTTGTTACACAGAGAAACCCTGTATTGGAAAAATAATAAAATAAAAATGTTTATTTATTTTCTGTTACAGGTGTTTTGCCTGCATGTACTTCTGTTCACCACATATATACCTGGTGCTGAAAATGGTCAAAACAGGGCATAAAGTCCCATGGCACTGGAGCTATGGATGGTTGTGAGTCACCATGTGGGTGTTGGGAAATCCTGATCCTCCTGCTTCTCCCAAGTGTTGGGATTACAAGCATATGCATTCATATCCAGCTAGTCTATGCTTAAGAGAAGTGCAGATGCACCAGGAATGCTTGTGTCTAGTGAATAAGAGTCTGCTCCCAGACTCGTATTGTGCCTAGAGGAATGACTATCCTAGCCATCTAACCCAATGCATCAAGAAGTTCTATAAAGAAAAGAGAATCATGTTTTGTAATAAACGAAATTTGTCTTTTGTTTTTCTGAGACAGGGTCTTATTAAGCAGAGCAGGCTGGTCTTGAGCTCACAAATCTCCTGCCTCAGCTTGTGCCCAAAGGAAAAGAAAGGGTAAGGGCTGTGGAAATAAGGGAAGGAGGATGCTCTGGGAAAAGATAAAAGCCATAGCAATGGGCTGGAAAGATGGCTTAGAGGTTAAGAGCACTGGCTGCTCTTCCAAAGGTCCTGAGTTCAATTCCCAGCAACCACACGGTGGCTCACAACCATCTGTAATGAGATCTAATGCCCTCTTCTGGCCTGCAGGTGTACATGCAGACTGAACACTGTATACGTAAGAAATAAATAAAACTTAAAAAAAAAAAGCCATAGCAAAGGAATGGACTGGAGAAGATATGCTCTCCTGACTGTCTTTTGAAGTGCTGGCGACTGAACCTAGGCTTCCTGGATGCTAAGCAAGCATGCACTCTATCACCAATCCACATGTCCTGCCCTTCATGCTTCATTATACAAACACGGTGTAATGTTCTTAGACAGGGATAGTTTTTTCTCTAATATGCCATTTAACCAAAAGTAAAGTTCTTATTTCCAACTTCAGGCTTACAATCCCTGGCAAGAAAAAGGCCCTTAAGAGGTAAGCACTGTAGTTAAAATAGGACCCATAGGGCAACAGCCCATTAATAGCCTAACTCTGGGATTCGTAACATCTTCTGGAATAGTAGGGGGCTATTTATAGTCCAGCAGTGAAGAGAAGTAGGAGTGGACTGGAGGACAAGTGTGAGTCATATTTTATTCTGCTCTGCTGAAGGCTGTTTCCAAGCTTTCCCTCTGACCAAACATAAGCGGCTCTGCAAGTGATAGGACCACATGTAGAAGCAGGTGCTTAGGAGGAGTTACTGTGGGCTAAGCAAGATAGTGCCAGATAATGCCGAAATGGCAGGCAAAAGGACAGTACTAGAGAAAGGCATGAAGAGGGACTGTTGTCCATGATGCTCTCTGAGGGCAGATCAGGCAGGAGACAAAGTGCTGGGCAGAACAGAACTGACTTTCTCTAAATGACACCTGTCACACCACACACCGCTACCTGCTGTGCTGTCATGTTTTCACCTCACAGTCACAAAAGAAAAGAGAGGTGGGGATTAAAGGAGACTTATACAATATGAACAACAGTGCTCCCTCTTCTTTTGGTTTTTGGTGTGTATGTATCTAGACATGTTCCTTTGTCTGTGTGCATTTATGTGTGCAGCTATACATATAAGTGTGTATGATCATGTGGAGGCCAGAGATTGATGGCTAGCATCTTCTTCAGTTGCTGTCCACCTTATATTTTGGAGACAGGAGCTCCATCAACCTTAACTTCACCTGATCTCAGCTAGAGCCCAGGAAGCAAGTCCCAGGTGGGACTACCTCCATAGCTATAGAATTAAAGGCATGTGCCACTATTCCAGGTTTTTTACATAAGGGCTGGAGATCTGAACTCAGGTCCTCATGCTTATCTCATGCTTAGCCATGCTGATTAAGCCATCCCCCGTATTTCTGGGACCTCTGTGTATGCTGTGGGACTCTGTCATGAGTGTCTATGATGACATGTTGCTTTGGCTTTCACTGTGAATAGAATCTATACTTTCTTTTATCTAAGGCAGGGTTTAGTCATCCTAACTGTCTCTAGTTCTATGCCTCCCAGATCCTCGGTGTGATCAATCCAGATGTCTGTCAAATATCACTGTTTCCTGACAACCTCTTCCTTGTGGTTAGCTAGGTACAGCCTGAGTGGCTAGGCTGACTGCTATACCCAGCATGGACTGTACAGATTCAGATGAAACTTGTGTCTACTTGCTTTAAACCTACTAGTGAAAACTCTTCATGGGAGACCTGCTTGGAGGCTAATAACCAATAAAGCTTTGGCTCGTGGATCCTTCTCTCTATCCCTGCCTATACTTTCCTAACCTATGTGTATTAACATCTAGGTGTGAGTAATAAAAACTTATATTTATCTTAACTCGTACCTAATTCATCATAAAGATCTTAAAATCAAAACAGCATTATCTGGCTGAGTTTGAATTTCAGAGCCTTTTGTCAACTTCTAAGAAGAGTTCTCTAAATTGAGTGACAGCAGTTCTATCAGCAGCCCTCCCTCCCATGCTCCGGGGGCCTAACTTGTACTTCACTTCTCTGTACCAATCACAGCCATTCAGACTCAGTAGTGTCTGGCCACCACCACCATCTATATACCCTGGGAACTCCCTCCATCTTTTCTTCTCCTGAAGTTGGACTGGACTCTGACCTCTCCTGCTCCTGTTCTTCCATAATTGTCACTTCACATTTCCTAGGGTATCATTCCTGACAAAAAGATTTCAAGAGAAAGAAAAGAGAAAAGCGTATCTCCCTACTGCTAAGGTTTGTCTGTTTGCTTGTTTATTTCCTGAGACGTATACATTTCATTCTGTGACTATATGTTCAATGCTATTTCCTCGAGTTACATTAATACAGACCATTCACAAATGGAAGTTTGTTTTTTTAAAGCATCTCTGAGAGACAAATGATGTTCTCCAGGCTGGTCTGGGAATTTTATTCTCCAGGAGTGAGAAAAATATCTCAGTGGTATTAATAAGTTTAGTACTGAGAATTACAAACTACCTTTCCTTCCTCAAGCAAAGACACAGGAAAATCTAAGTCTGGTAGGCAAAAAGTGGGGGGAAAAATGAAAGGGGTTGAAGCAATAGCTAAGTAGGTAAGAGTACTGGTTGCTCTTCCAGATGATCTGAGTTCAATTCCTATAACCACATAGCAGCACACACCTTCTTTACAACCAGGTCTAGTGACTCTCATAACCTCTTCTGGCTTCCAAGCACCAGGCATGCACACAGTGCATAGACATACATGCAGGCAAAATACACATACACATAAATAAAATAATAATTAAAAAAGAAATAAAAGAATAGACATTTTATCTATCTCATCATTCTATACATATATATTGCCATATAAAGAACACATATTTGCAGATATGTTAAGTGGTGTGGTAGCAAAAATGAATTGCCAAAGTTGTCGCTCTCATTTTCCCTCATGATGTGGGCAGTGAGCTTCCCTAGGTCATCCCCACAGTACTTGTTTACTGTGATAAAAAGGGTTTCAATAATGGTGGAAGTACAGATCATTTAATGACATCAAGAAAAACAAGTGTTTAGAAATAACTCAAGGCACACAGAAGGGCTAAACACAGTGTGTTTCCTGCAATGTTCAATTCCACATAAGACCCTTTTTAGAAACTACATGCAAGGAAATCTCCAGAAATTTCCAGGCTTGGAAATGAGGAAGTAGGTGACACAGGTTCCTCTTCAAGAGGATGTCCAGGGGGCTGGAGAGATGGCTCAGAGGTTAAGAGCACTGGCTGCTCTTCCAGAGGTCCTGAGTTCAATTCCCAGCAACCACATGGTGGCTCATAACCATCTGTACTGAGATCTGGTGCCCTCCTCTGGCGTGCAGGCATACATTGAGGCAGAAAGTTGTATACATAATAAATAAATAAATCTAAAAAAAAGAAAAAAAAAAAGAGGATGTCCATGATATCCTGATAAAGGAAGACACAGGGATAGGGATAGGATGAGTCCAGGTACAGGGAGGCACTGAGGGAGGCCAGAGATGCTTCTGCTGCAGGCCTTGTGAAAGGATTCTGTACTTGGAACAGAAAGAAGTACTTAGTCTGATAGGCAGTCACAAGATTCTGTAGCTTCTGGAATAAGATGAACTGATGGGGATGAATGTAGGTAGGTATACATAGGCATCTTATTTAGGTGTAACCTACATATTCCACATGCATTTCATCATTGACTTCCCAGTACTAAATACCTGGCCCTTCAGTTCAATCTTTGGTGATGAACATGAAAATGAAAGACAGCTCAGCTGACCCACCTCATAGAAGAGTCCTTCTGGGAACTGCTGGAAGCACTGGGCACACACGAAGCACTGCTCATGGTACAGCTCACCATTACTGTTCACGATCTTCTCAGCAGGCGCAAAGCCTCCCTTGCAGCGCTCACACGTGGCACTGGCCAAGGCATTGGCCATGTTGCTAAAATACACAAAGAACAAAATACAAATTGTCAGCTTGTAATTAGGCTTAAAAGTAGGTGACATCAAGAACTGAGGAGCAAATTCTACCTGGACATAAAAACTCATATTTTATCCACAAAACCAGGTTTAACAAATACTCATTAACTAGGCACTTGATTTCTGAAAGGGCCTCCTTCTTCGCTTTTGTTTGACTTTAACATCTTCAGCGGGATATACCTGTAGTTCCAGCTTTTAAGGAGGGAGAGCTAAGAATGTTATTGAATCCAGAAGTTCAAGAACAGCCACAGATAGACTCTGTCTCAAATAACCACACCAACGATTAAATGTCTCCCTTAGGAGCTCAGGCTTATAGCTGGGTAACTAACTTTATATTTAGATCATACTGCTCCCTACCTCTAGTTCCTCCAGGACTCTATTCCACATCACCCTCCCAACTTCATGTCTACTCCTCTCCCCTCATAACATACCGAGTCTAGTAGTGCTGCCACGTGTGCACGAATGCAGGGCACCAACCACTGGAGCAAGGGCAACCTACACTAGGCCACACTGCAAAAGAATCTGATTTTCTCTCCCCTAGGTGTTATCAATCGCCAATAGCTTCTTAGCTATGGGTGGGGCCTCATGAGCTCCTTCCCTCTGTGAGATAACATCTTAAAAGTCAATTTCGTTTCAAGAACAAAATCTAAACTTCATGTAACTGAACATCATATCATAACCTAAATTTAGATTATACCTTTGATTGGATCCTATTGAAAGCAGCTGCTTAAATTTCTGAAAATTAGACAATATGCCTATAAAGCAGTACATAAGTCAAAAACTGAGTACTAGCAATATAAAATTTATTTTTTATTTATTATTATTTATACAGTATTCTGCCTGCATACATGCCTGCAGGCAAAAAGAGGGCACTACATCTCAGGACCTCTGGAAGAACAGTCAGTGCTCTTAACCTCTGAGCCATCTCTCCAGCCCCATAAAATGTATCTTAAAATAACAGAATTTTCTGCAATAAAGATCATTTTCCAGATAGAGAACTAGGTTCAGAGGTGGACAATTAATTCAACATCACTGAGCTAGTTTCTTAGTTAATGAGTGACACAAGAGTAGAATCCAGACTCTCTGCTTGCAGGGACTCATCTGTCACAGACCAGAACCTTACTGCAAACTCCGGAGAGTCCATGGCAGGGGTGCAGTCATGTTGTGCAAGTCAGCATAAGGAAGCACTGGGTGACTGTGACAGTTCCCTCATGAGCAAACCCACAGGATGTATTCAATGAATTACCTGTTTTCTCTAACTACCAGTGCTTCAGAAGAAAGGCAGCATGGCTGTGGCAAAGAATTAGGTGAGAATTTCAAATAAATAGCTATTTTGTTTCCAAAAGTTCTAGAAATGAAGATGGTTTTCTATGCTAAACAGTCACTGACCAAGCTATTCTTCACAATTTCACAAGTTTCTTTTTTGTTTGTTTTGGCTTGTTTTTTGTTTAAGAGGCCTCTCCGTAGCATAAGCAAGTCTGCTCCACTGACAGAGCTTCTGACCTTCCAGATATTTTAGCGGTCTACCAGTGCTGGGAGACAGATGGTGTGGAGAGCCTCTAACTTCACAGATACTTTAACCAGCTGCCTTGCTCCTACCTCTTTCCAAGTTTGGCTGTTTCCATAGCAAAAGCGGCAATAGTTATTCTCCACTCCACCCCAACAGAGGGCAGGCAGCTTTATACTTGTCTTTTCAAGTATAAATGTTTCAAGGCAATTCTAAGCTGTAGCCTGCCATAAGAAACTCTATGTTCAGCTGGGTGGTGGTAGAGCACACCTTTAATTCCAGCACTGGGGAGGCAGAGGTAGGTAGATCTCTGTGAGTTTGAAGCCAGCCTGGTCTATAGAGCAAGTTCCAAGGCAGGCTCCAAAGCTACAGAGAAACCCTGTCACAAAAAGAAAAGAAAAGAAAAGAAAAGAAAAGAAAAGAAAGAAACTCTATTTTCAATTCTCATATTCATCATTTCAGGCTAATCAAAACTCAGTTTTAATTAGTAAGCTAAATATAAAATAAGAATGTCACTGAAAAAAAAAGAAGGAAAAGACAGGGCCGGTGAGATGGCACAGCAGGTAATGGTGCTTGCTGCCAAGCCTGAAGATCTGAGTTTGATCCCTGGAACTTATACAGTAGAAGAATAAAACTGACTCCAGGAAGTTATCTTTGACCTGCACATGTGTGTCCTACCCTCCAAAACATACTTTTAAAAGGGAAAGAGGACAGCCTCACTGCTGGGTAAACCTGGCCTACATACTGTGTAAACAAGCTTCTACTTTGTCATTTCAGAATTAATGTGACATTAGAAAATCCATATAGTTCCTTCTACCCAGATAAATGGTGACAGTTTTAATAAAGCTCTGGCTCTCCAGAGCTGTGCACCCTCTTTTCTATAGAAAAAGTGGCTGAGTGGAGAAGGATGCTAAACCCACATCTGCTTAAGAATTCTCAGAAGCTATTTGAGGATGAAATAATAAAAAGTATAAGCCACTCTGGAAAGCAGAAGAGGCATGAAAAGACACGGCATCATTACATCATTATCATTCTAAATTCTCTCAAGGATACACCCCAAATCTCAGCATTTTTTGTTTGTTTGTTTGTTTCTCAAGACAGTGTTATTCTGTGTGGCCCTGGCTGCCCTGGAACTCTTTCTCTCTCTCTGCAGACCTGGCAGACCTCGAACTCACAGAGATCCATCTAGGATTAAAGGCATGTGCCATGCCGCCACCACCATGCTAAACCTCAGTAATTTTAATGGCTCTCCCAAAAAGCTGAAGAACATTCTGGAATGTTCTAATTCACTACCACTTAACTCAGTGATTCTCAAGGTATGGGGTGACTGGTTCTCTGGAAGTTCTGGAGTACCCTCTCTCAGCCACAACACTGTGCAGAAGCAGACTGTAAGGAAGGAGCTTGCATCAAGAAAAACATCAACAAAATGTGCACAAATGTAAAGCAATGGCATTTTTCCTCTATAATATTAACATAATGAGTTGATTTACACCGAATTATCAAGTACAAGAACTCATACAAAAAGTACTAGACTTCAATCCTTTTGTTTTGTTTTTTACATTTTTGTTTTTTTCAAGACAGGGTTTCTCTGAAGGTCTGGCTGTCCTGGAACTCTGCAGACCAGGCTGACCTTGAGCTCACAGAGATCCACCTGCCTTTGCCTCTCAGTGCTGGGCTTAAAGGCCACACTGCCACCACCATCATCACCACCCAGCTCCTTCTTTTGGTGGTGCTTGAGGCAGTATAAGGAAGTTCTTGGATTAAAAAATGCCATTACCACTGACTTGTTCATGTTCACTATGTTCCAAATTTTATTTATGTTTGAATACTCAAGTAGAATTGGCAAAATGGGTTGAGAGATTAATATAATACATATATATCGTAATACACACACACACACACACACACAAATTCTTTTTAGTAAAAAGAAGGAGCAGGACACAGCAATCACTTGCCTCCCGACTGACCTCATGTTTCCCTTTCCTCTATCTTTTTGTTTGTTGGCTGGTTGACTTTGGTTTTTCTTTTTTTGAGACAGGGTCTTATGTAGTCTAGGCTGATCTTGAATTCCTCATCCTCCACACCTCCCAAGTGTTGGGATTGTATGCTCAGCTCCTTTCCTGCCTGACTCTCCAGTGCTATTCACATTTTTTATAGCTGACAATATTTAATACAACATATAATAGAGCTATTTTTTGAGACAAGTCATTAGATTGATTATACCTAATTGCTTAATTTCTCAGAAAGCATTTTTCACTAAAAAGTGTTGCTGACAAAGACAATATGGGAGTGGGAAGAATGTATTTCTATAAAGTCTTTAGTCTTTACTGACCTACCTCTACAGGTCGGCTGCTCAGGAAACTACAATCAAGCTTTCCAATTTCTCAGATCTTATTTATCACTACATGTTAAACAAATTTTCTGCTCTTAAAACACAACAATGTGCAAAATTCTGTAATCAAATACCTTGAGAGTTTACTAGCCACTTCAAATACTGGTTATGGAATAATTCCCCAGCAAATTATTTATCAATTAAAGTTTAGTTTCACCTCTGAGAACTTTCAGAGTATATTTTTTCCTGTTATGGATCCTGACAACACAAAGTGCCAACTTCTCTCACGGTTAACAAGATGAAAATGTACATTATTACAAATATGAGAGCTTTCTATTCTTCCCAGGAAGGTGGCATTTTCCTTGACATCTGCTATGTCCTCTGGTAGAAGTTTACAAGACAAGGCAATCTGTGAACCACCCCGAGCCCTCGGTACACCCTGGAAAAGCCGTGCTAAATTAAAACACATTAGCTGGATCAAATGCCTAAGGAACGCAGATCTAAAAGCTGTAGATTTGAAAGCCCGCAGGGCATTCCAGGAAGGGAGAGACTCACAATTTTGCATAAAAATCACAAAATTCCTTGTAGACTTTTACATCACTGTGCCTGCGCTGCAGCTTGGACACAGCCCTCTCATCTTCATTCCCATTAGCCTCGACGACACTGTTAAGGACTGTCCGGGGAATTTCTTCATTCTCTGGGATGGTGCACGGGCGTGATCGGGCTGGGAAGGCCATTGTACAGGCTTGAGAGTTCAGAGTCCTCTGATGCCGAGCAGGATACAGAGAAGAGAAACAATATCCAGGCCTCCTGTTTCCCAGCCAGGGTCACTCCCACTGTTCCCACATGCGTCACCCAGCTGCCAGGGTCGCTACCGACTTTTCATGTTAAGAGCTCAGTAGCATAGCAGTCTGGCTCTAGTACAACTTTCTAGAAGCTCCCGAAAACATCTCACATGGCAGTGACAACCTGTTTCTGAGCAGTTCTCCATTTGGATGTGCAAAGCGTCTTTTGGAAAGCTTGACTAGCTCCAGCGAGGACCTGAGAGCCCTGAAATGAAGCTCTGTGTGGTCGTCTATTATCTTTGCTCTTCATACAAGAAACAACTTAGTACAGGCTCAACGACTGGGCACAATTTCATCCCAGCTAACTCTGTAACAGGAGTCACAGAGTCTTCATGGTGTTCCTGCTATAATTAGTTCAAACTACTGTGTTTGTCCGGATGATAACAACAAACAGCGTAGCACAAGGCAACACAAAGGTTTAGGATTTTTTTCTTTTTTTTTTTTTTAACTTTTTATTGATTCTTCGTGGCTTTCATATCATGCATCTCAATCCTACTCATCTCCCTGTCTCCTTGCTTCCACACCCTGCTCTTGCAAACTCCCCACAAAACAAAACAAAATTTAAAAATAAAACCAAAACCAACCAAACAAACAAAACCAAAGGCCCACCCGCAAAAAAAACTCGTCACAGAAGATGCAGTATGGCCCAGTGAGTCATGCAGTATACCGTTTAGTTCATACGTCTTTATTTGTAGTGCAGTGGGTCACTGGTCTGGTTTGAGGCCTCTGGCTTCTGCTACACCATCAACACCAGGCCCTCACTGGGACTCCTCTTGGAGATCCTCCTGCTGCCCTGTGCCATGGAGATCCTGCAGCTTTGGACCTGCAGGTCCTGCCACTACACATGCTCCAGCAGTTCACAGATGAGCTCAGTGCTTCTAGGCATGGGCTGATGCAACAAGGACAGTCACAGTTCCACACCAAGGTTTGGGGTTTTTCTGAGGTTCCATTTTTTATTCCAGTAAGCCATCCCAAAGCAAGGACCCCACGGGACTTGTGAGCAGGCATACTGCTGGGAACCTGAGGTTAACAGGAGAGTCATGAGACCAACACACAAGCAACATACAGTTGAGACTCAAGTACCAGTGAATGATGATACAGAAGAATCAGCAAGCCACTTCTGTCACTTCACATCCTCTATGAAATGGGTGTTGCTCACAAGTAAAAAGACCATGGCCACAAAGAGACTGAGTAATAAGTAAGTGGTGGGGTCCATACTTAAACCTAGGGACTATGCTGTAACTTCCATGAGAGAAAATACCTGAACAGAATCACCAAGAAATAAAGCAAGTGAACTCTAAATCAGTATGTGGTGGGTTCAAAATGGGACCAGAAGCAGGAAATGAGATATTTCTCTACTTTGAATCTAGAGATATCAGAATGATGAAGAACTCAGACTGTAGCCTTAGACCTGCTGAGACCCAAAACTGAGGGATGACAGAACAGGACAATCACTAGTTTCAAGTAGTAAAAAACAGCTTTACCATGTAAATGTTATTCTTTCTATTTGTCTATCTATAAGCCCTCATTACTGGTTTCTATATATCTTTATGTTAGTCTTTCTATTTATCTATCTATATGCTCTCATTTACTGGCAAAGTAAAACAGAAGAAGGACAGGATCAGACAATTTCAGGCTGACAGAGCACATGCCACTGCTTAGTTTCCTGGCTGAAGTAGAGGAAATACAGTAGCAGAGTTGGGAGCTTGATAACAGCATAGCGGCTGTAGTGCCACTGAGTATGTAGCTACTGTGGCCACCAGTAAGCAGGACCGTGCTCTCTACCCATAGGAATCTCGTTACCACCCTTCCTGGCTTGCCTGTTTTTCACCTGTATAAACTGTCATTTGTGGAACTCTGTCATATGTGATGGCTGAAGGCTGGCTTTAAGTCAGTTTCATGACATTGAGATCTGTCAGGTTGCAAACATACATGTGGTTTGCTCTTGTGTTTCTTGTGTTACTGCGTAATATTCAGCAGAATTAAAGTATGTTATGATCAAACCATTCACCCACTGAAGGAAACTTAAGTACTTCCTAGTTTTAGGCTATTACAAATAAAAATTGTATAGAAGCTTCTGCATAAACGTTGATTTATATTTCTCTTGACTAAACACCACAGTGAAACTGTTGAGCGGTATTCCAATCATACTTTAACTGTGAAAGAACTACTAGGAGTGGTGGTACATGCCAGGAATACCAGCACCTGAGAGGCTGAGGTAGCAGGATTTAAGAGTCTAAAGCCAACAAGGGCTACATAGCAATGAAGGACAGCCTGAGTTGCACATAAGATTCTGTCTAAACAAAACAAAGACCAATCCTTTATTTGACAGGGCGGGGGTGTATCTTGGTGGTAAGTCACTTGCCTACCACAAGCAAGGGTTCAGTTTCTCCCACTGAAAACAATTACTGATGCAAGGACATACTACTACAAAATCCTCTACAATCCTCTCTGTGACTTGTCTGATATCTTTGTAATTTGTACCTGATTACTTAAGAGAAATTAAAAAAAAAAAAGAGGAAAAAGTTACATAACAAGTAGCAGGAAAAAAGGCTGGTAAAAAGACCAAACCAACTAGTAAAATCTGGATAATAGAAACTGGCTGTGTACAAAATTTCACTCTCAATCTTAAACCTCAGGCCTTATACAGCTAAAGATAGATAACAAAGTATCAAAACATAGTGGTATGATCCTGTGATGTTATTTGTAGAAGGTGGACCTGCTATCTGCAGCCTAAGACAATCTGCATTCTCCTGGGGGAGGGAGAAAGGAGAACTCCATCTTTTGTATCTCAGTAGTGGAAAGCACATGGCAGCCAAAGAATCACCAAACAGGTGATTCTGTTAAATGGGGTCAGCTACCTGAGAAAAAGAGTTGGTAGAAATGAAAGTTGCAGGAGACCAGAGAATATGGCAAGATAGAAGCTTTTAAAAATCCAACTGACATCAAGATTAAGAAATATAGTAATGATGGTTTAGTATTTTAGCAACTACATGGTCACTTTTAAACTTAAAAAAAATGTTTTTTGTGTGTGGTTTTGCATGTGAGTGCAGTGCCAATAGAGGCCTGGAGAAGGCATCAGACCCCGTGGAGTTGAAGTTACAGGCAGTTATAGACGGCTGGACATGGTGCTGAGATCAGAACCCAGGTCCTCTGGAAGAGCAGCAAAGGCTCTTAACTGCTGAGCCACCTCTTGAGCTCTCACTTTATATCTTTTGAGCTATAATTTTCAGATATTTTCCCAATAAAGATAAATTTTTATGTAGCTTGTATGTGTGTATACACAGTACATTCTCACTGCCGTGGTTGAAAATTAGTTGATGATAAACATACGCATTTATTTCTGGGTTCACTAGTCTGTTCTATTAGTCTATTTTTACGCCAGTACTGTACTTAGGTCACCAGTGCTTCCAGTTCTGTTCTTTCTGCTCAGGATTGCTTTAGCTATTCAAAGTCACTGGGGCTCAATCAAAATTTTAGAAGTACTTTCTCTATTTCTGCAGAGAATGTTACTGGTATTTTTTTCCTGCATATATGTTTATGTATGTTTGGAGGAAGAAAAGGGTGTCACGTCCTCTGGGATGGAGTTACACTTGTGAGTCATCGTGTGAGTACTGGATTGAGCCTGGGTTGTCTGGAAGGGCAGTCAATGATCTTACTCCCTAAGTCATCTCTCTAGGCCCCAACAGTGTTTTGACAGGAATTGAACTGGTTGGTCATAAGGGGTTTTACAAACACTGTAACAATTTGGGGACATATGTCTTTCTAATCTGGGGAACCTCTTATTTTCTTTTATCATTTTTGGTGATTTTCAAAGAGATTATTTCTTTCCATGGTCATGTGGTGGCTAAATTTATTTCCAGATCTTTCTTAACCCTCTCCTTTTTTCCCTACCGTGATTCAGATTGCTTTATTGATTTATTTTCCCTGAAGTTTTTTTATTGATGAACTGGTGAGATGGCTTAATGGGCACCCGATAATCTAAATTTTATTTCCAAAACCTAGATAATGGAACGAGAAAAGCTGTCCTCTGATGTCCACATGTGTACGTGGCATCTGCATATAAGCAAATTTGCATGCACGGGCAGTGCACCCCCCTACTTTTTGTATCTTTTTACTAATTTATCAATACTAAAAGAGTGTGTTGTGTGTGTGTGTGCGTGTGTGTGAATGTGTGCATAGAATCTTTAGGCTTTGCTATACATTAAATCATATTGCTATAAACAGGTAATATAAACCTCTTCCCTATATGCTCATGTGTGTGGAGATGAGAAAACAACTTATAGATAGGAGTCAGTTTTCTCCTACCAACATATGGACTTTGTGGATTGAACTCTGGTCCTCAGGCTTGGCTGCAGATAGATGCCTTTAACCATCTCTTATGCAGAAGTTACTTCAATATAACTGCTTTTTTTAAGCAGTGGTCTTATATGGTATAAAAATATTTCATAACTGTTTTAATCAATCAGTCCAAGATTTACATGTTGTAAGGAAAATTTATGACTGTGACCCTTGGTTTATATTTTTCAGATCACCTTCTTATCTGCATCCCTTTCTCCCCAAGACAGAGTTGCTTTGTGTAGCCCTGACTGTTCTGGACTCACTCTATAGACCAGGTTGGCCTCAGACTTGAAGATCTGCCTGCCTCTGCTTCCCAAGTGCCTGGATTAAAGCCATGTGCCACTACCACCTGGCATTATCTGTTCTTTCTATCACCCAGAAAGATATCAGTTTGTTTGTCTGTTTGAGATGGGGGTCTCTCTATGTAGCCTTGGCTGGCTTGGCACTCAGAGATCCCCCCGCTCTGACTCCAGAGTGCTGAGATCAAAGGTGTACACCATCATTTCACCCCTAGCACTCTAAAATATTAATTATGATCCAGAGAGAAAGGA